CCCCATGATGGAGGCCCTCGGGGGGCAAGTTGGGCTGCTGGGAGGTAGTCCCTAGATCCCCCTTCTCCCGGATCCTCCACACTTTCCCTATAAGCTCTGGGTGACATGGGGGGTGAAGGAGAGGCCTTGCAGGGGAAATTGAGGGAGAGGAAGGACTGAAGCCCCTAGGTGGCGAACCCGAGGTGTGATAGCAGGGTCCAATCGGAGATCTAGATCTGCTGGGGGATTCAGGCCTAGCCCCGAGCCAGTCTTTCTGTCCTAGCCACCTGCTTTTCCAGGGCTTTTTGTTTTCTGGATTCATCTCTAGCGGCTGCTCTGGAAGGGCGCTGATTGGCTGTAGGCTGCTGCCATGGGTCTAAGTCTGCCCTGGCCCTCCTCCGCCAGATCTCCTTGGGCCTGTGCGGGTTCTTGAATTGTGGAGGCCATGCCTCACTCACGTGCTGTTGGATGGACTGTGCTTGTCTGCCAGCCACGATCCCTGGCCGCGCTGCAGACACTGATAGAATTCTGTCATGCCTCGTCGCCTGCGGGCCTCGATTAGCAGGCTGCTGCTGATATTGCAGCAAGAGGCCGCCACCCATGAGGTCGCACCAAAAATGGCCACCGCACCTCATGGGTGGTGAAATGGGCTATCACAGCGCTCTAAAATTGGCTCTGAGGGATTAGCCTCGCGACGAGCCAAGTCCTTGAGACACCTGCACCCGGATTCGCAGTCCTCCAGCTTCCATGGACCGCGCCATGCCGTTCAGCTAATTCAAACAGGTGCAGCCTCTGATATTGAATCAGGCCACAGCAGCCCTTTGAAGCCATGGCAAAGCTCCGGCAACGGCGCTGAAAGCAGATTGGCCAAGCAGTAAAATTTAAATCGCTAGAGGCTGCGCTAGAGCCACAGAGACTGTAATTAGAGAAACTGACGGCGCGGTGTTCTGAAGGAGCTGGCAGTTCTCTGACTGGCCACAAGGTAGGAGGCAAAGCCCTCCTCTTTCTCCATGAGACTGTAACAGTCTCTTCTGGCCACAATCTGTTCTAATCAAATTTAGGATATCCAATTAATTGAATTAAAACACGAGTTTAATCGTACCTCACTGGAGCCACAGCTAGTGCTTGGACCAAAGACTGAGGGAAACTGGGAGCCGAGAGGGAAAGGAGGATACTTAAGAAAATCCCTCAGTCTCTGGACCAATCAGGCTGTGACTAAACCCTGTTGTAGCCCCTCCCGCCGAAACTACAGGAAAACTGTGGGATGGAAAGATATACATACAAAAAAATGAAAAAATGAATGAATTGAATGAATTGAATAGAAAGTGCACATAAGGAAAAAGAACGTAATCTGTTCAGAACAGAATGCTACAGAAAATAACTACAAAATAAGACAAAAAAATAGTTGCAAAGAACGTAGCCAAAGACAAAAAAAAAATGGTTAAAACTAAGAACTATTTTAATGGAACTAAACACATTCTTTGGAAATAGATAAAAAGAGGAGCTGGGTGGAATTAAAATAAATATGAAAGAAACTGGCAAGAGTAAACTGTCAGGGAATTGCTAAGAGTAACTGAGAAGGTGCTTGGCAATGTTCTGACTGAAGGGTTATAAGAGGTGAGAAAGTGCATAACTGGGAAAGCAGAATGTGGGTTTATGTTAGGCTTGTTGTGTGCAGGCTTAAGAATGTGATCCATCTGGTTGCTCCAATACTTCTTGGAGGAAAGTTACAGCATTCTATAATGAGCTTTTACTATAGCAGTTCTAGTCCCGACTATTCTGAGAAGCAGCATCAGAGTCAGATATTTCATAAATATGTTAAATGAGGTGATGTAATCTCAGTGGCATTTTCACTATCTTTAGGAGTATCAAGTTGAATGAATCATTTCCATTTTTAAAATGTCCTCAGTCTTTAAAGGTGGTTGAAGCTGGATGTGGAATCAGTTACCCAAGTTTCAAATCTAATCCTGCTACTGTGACCTATATTTTATGTGTGTCCGAGATAGTAAAGCAGCATAACTTCCAAAGATTGGGGCAAAAATATGTCTAAGCACTGTGAAGCCCTTAGTTATTACATGCTAGGCAAACAATATTTCTCACACAAAACATGCCAACTCCTCTCCAAATTCTGAGAATGAACTTACTCTGTATACAGAAACTAATGTTCTAACAAATCAGATGCCAAGCTGCTACATTTTAAATTAACATATATTTTACTATCTCAATCACAGCAATCTCATACAGTAAGTTACACATAAAAATATATTTAGCATAGTATCACATTTTTCTGAACTACAGGTATTTCATGATATGTATGTACATAGGACTGTTTCATTAAAAGCAAAATAGTTAATCCCTGCTAGGTTCACTGTATAAATTACGTGGCATCACAGTTTTTAGTTAGTGTTATGTAAATAACAACATGGTATCCAAACAAGAGAAAATTAAAAACTATGGAGTATAGCAGCCAGCTAATAACAGCCATGATGCTTTAAAAGGTTGAAGAGAAACTCAATACAACAAAATAAACTATACAAGCAGATTCTTTAGAAAGACTAGAATTGTTTTAAATTTGACATTATATACACATTGTATCTACAGGTATATTAATATACAGTGATAAAAGCCCATCTATAATTTTAAAAATCTTAATAACTCACATAAGCAATGATTTTATTAAGCTTTCTTGTTGGTGGGAAATAAAACAAAATACTGAATGTAGAAAATCATTTTGATCAACCTTTTTCAGATTTTCTTGAGCGTGAATCCTTGTTTTGATACTATTTTCTGTTGGCAACTTTCTATAACAGTCAATTGAAGATGTCAATGACCAAAAAATGTCAGCAAACGTACAAATGTTGAATCCCGTTTGAATTCATGCCCACTCTTGCTAATCTTCTTCCCACCAACCTCTCCCTGCACACTGATAATGTAATAACTGGCCGTTCGTATAAGTTTCATCATATGAAAGGTGAAAGGATGATATTCTTACAAATCCTAGAATTAACAACCATGCTCTTAAAATGTACAGTTTTAGGTTAAGGATAATGTTCCACAAAATTCAGAATTCAATGCAATGGCATAAAAAGGCTACATAAATGTTAAGAGTGACACCTTGATACACTTTGCAACTAGATCAAATTATGCATTTAAACTCTACCTCCAGGGTAGAGAAATCTTAATGGCTGGCAATAGCATTAACTCCTCTCCTCATTTTTGTTTTAATACAACTAAATTGCACTGGAGTACAGCTATGTGGAGTTTATGTAAACTTACTCCCAGAAGTGTGAATGAGAGATAGCCTAAGTAAATGTTTGTGTGTGTGTGGGTGTGTGTGTGTGTGTTCAACTCTTTCTAATATTGAGTTTAAAGAAAGATTAAGTTATGTATCCAACTGTATCTGATTCAGGAAGCAAAATTTCATGTGGCTGAAAGGAATAAAGAAAGAATTGATTTCTAGGAACAAGACTGAATAACAATGATAATATGCTGCAGGTCAAAGAAGGAACAAAGTAAAATGTTACCTGAAAAAATAACCCAGAGACTTCAATTACATGATCTTACCCATATTCAAAAGACCACATATGAATATATTTATTAAAATAAACTACTTCCAAATTAACTATTTACAGTAAAAATAAGAATCTGATACATGTGCAGAAGAATTATCATTGATTATTAGAAAACAGAGCACTCCAGGCATAATATAACACATACAAAGTGATAGCCTTAGAATACTAGAACAGTCAAACAAGAGGATATTTTGGCGATGTGGACAATAAAGTAAACACTCGGTTTAAAATTTAATGTTATGAGAGGAGGGAGGGTGAATGAATGAGAATCTTGGGAAGTCCACAAAATGACTTCTCTACATGATTTCTCTATTGGAACCCAGGAAATGTAAGTAAAACTTCATTTTTTTTTTTTTTTTAAATGGGTGTGGAGGGGATGAACTAAGAGCAAACATACGTGTGAAAGGTTTGTATAAACTTCAAACAATTTTACAATGATCTAAAAATGTTCTTGATTCTTAAGTTGCCCTTTAGTTATTATTCTGGTGCTATGTTACATAAATGAAGCAAACACAGCAATGAAACAGCTATGATTTTTTTTTTGTAAAAGAAAGTAAATTGATTGCCTGGTTCTGAAAAAAAAATAAAAAGAAAAAGAAGTGCTTCTCTTCCTCATTTAAATGGAAAAGCAACTAAAGGTTGCCTAAAAAGAGTAGCAGCATCAACTAGACCATAAACATTTATAAAACCACATCATCAGGATTGGCACCTATGCTGTATACACTATTAATAGGGCATATCTGTTTCTCTTCTCTTAAAAGTTTGCTAAAATACTTATCAGCATATTTGTGTTTTTAGCCCTTTTGCCCCAAAATAAAGGATTCTGAAAAAATATTTTTTTTAAAAAAAAAGAAAATTATCTATAAACCATGTGCGAGAGCTGATTTGATTTGAAGTTTAATTGATTGTTTGGCAAGAATCTGTGAACCTCACTTTTTCGACAACAGGGATCATAATAGTAAGCATTGAGGCAAGCATCACAGGAAACTTTAGAACAGTACGTGCATGTGTTGGTAGCTCCCGAACGGTTGCAAAAGCCACAGCGAGAAGAACCCAAAGCTTTGGATTTCGAACTGTGAGATGCTCGCTCTTGAGTCTGTAACATGTATTGTGGCTTTTCCCTTCCAGAAGATCCGGATGTACTTTCACCTGACAGTGATTTGAGTGAATAGTTGCTTTGTTTTATTGCTGGATATTCTTGTCTGCAGATGAGCACACTGTCACATTTTTGGCAAATGGAGGTGCCGCAAGACAATCCGCAAGTTTGGCACTTAAGGGAAGAGGTCTCTTTGGCTAGATGTGTACGTTTATGGTAACTTGGATTGGCGTCATTTTTTAGCAGCCAGACGTCATGTTTAGAGGATTCTTGTCTTTTAAACACGCTCCTAGAATCAGGGTCGGTATATAAATCTAAATCATCTTGAGGGGAATAGTAAGTACCGAATGGCATACCTGTTCTTAATATGCCATTGGTGTGGGATGAAATTGGTAAATATTCCTCAGTGCATCCATGTGGAGAACTGGACATGGCTAGGAGGGATGGCGATGGTCGAATTATTTCATCTTTGATGTCATCTTCAGTATCAACCAAAATGGGCTCTTTCCGGAAACTCAGCGATGCCATCAAAGGTGGCTTCTTACTATCCAAGTAATTATCATACGTGTCCACTGATTTAGAAGGTTTGCTAACTTTGGGCTTGAAATAATCTTTAGAGCCTCTTTCACTGGCAGATTTCTGAAGGACCATTCGTGACATGGAAGTGTTTAGATTTTCTTTGCATTCAGCACGGCGTTTCAAGGCATCCGAACAGCTACGAACATCATCGTTGCTATTTTTTCTCTCCTTCACAATGTCAAGTTCGGAATAACCTTTTTCCTTCACCTGCAAGTGAATTTCGATCAACTGTTCACATTCTGTTTTGGCCAGAAACAGTTCAAAGGATACCATCTTGACTTGAAAGGTATCAACCAGGTCTTTGAGTTTATACATAGTTCCAAGTTCTTGAACGTATCCCATCAAGTTTAATATCTGTTTTATATTCTCGTCGGATAATGTAGACTTTACGTAATAAACAAAAGGGCCTGTATAAGTCTAAAAATAGGGAAGAGAAAATATTTATACATATATTAATGAAATCAAACATAATTTTGAACTGCTTATATATGTAAAAATTCAAGAGATGTCAGACAGAGTTCTTAAAACTTTGCAACTTTAAGACTTGTGGACTTCAACTCCCAGAATTCTCCAGTCAGCTCTGCTGGCTGGAGAATTCGGGAAGTTGAAGTCCACAAGTCTTAACATTGCAAAGTTTGAGGAACCCTGTCTTAGACTATAAAGACTTCTTGGGCACTATCCAAAAGAATTATATGGATAAGCCATCCAATTTAAACTTAATATCAAATTAATATTAAGCCATATTAATTTCTGTCACAGTACATGGACATCAACAATACAATAATCAACTTCAGCATTTGGTAAGTTGGGTAGTAGAAGACAAACCTTTATTCTGGTTATGAATTATCAGTTAATTTTTCACTTGTACTATTTTTTGTCAGAACCAGAGTTTGCTTGAAGCTTTTCTGTAACAGACACTGAAACTCCAAAAACCATTTGACAAGAGGAGTTGAAACTTTATTGGCAGTCCTCATTTATAATCCTCTATAGTATTATAGAGTAATTGGTACTCGGCAACTTGATCATTAAGCAAAGCAGTCACAAAATGAAACTTCAACGGTACTTATGATTGTTTTTCACTTTTCTGTTGCTTTATAGACCTGCAAAGGTCTTAAATGCAAGGATTGGTCACTCAAGTTACTTTTTAAACCATTGAGACTGAGAACAATTGCCAAACAAGACATTTTCTAAAGAATAATTACCTGTATTACTAAAAGTAGAAACATAATATGAGCTTAGACTTTGGAGACTCGGGCCCAAGATAGGGTGGTTTATCAACTTCTGTGTTATAAAAGCATTTTAGGATTCTTTTCTTACAGAGCCAGCACTGTCCAAAGACGTCTCCGTGGTCATGTGGCCAGTATGACTAAACATCAAAAGTGCACAGAACAGTTACCTTCCCACCAAAGGTGGTTCCTATTTTTCTACTTGCATTTTTACATGCTTCCGAACTGCCATTACTTGGGACAAGTAATGGGAGATCACTCCGTTACACTGCGCTAGGGATTTGAACTGCCGACCTTCTGATTGACAAGCTCAGCGTCTTAGCCACTGAGCCACCACATCCATTCAATTTTACTTCCGTGTAAACGTCAGCATTACCAGGAAAATCTGGGATAAAAACATTTTTGCTTCTCTTGGGAAAGTATTGTAGTCCACTTTTTAAAATCCTTGATGAAATATCTCTGCCAAATAAGGAACAGGAGCACCAAATGTTCATATTTAAAATTATATTTCTCATTTGCATCTTATTTTTAAAACATTTTCATTTCTTTTCAGACTTCAGAAAATAAAAAGTCAGCAAAAAAAGGATAGATAGCACAATGCCTTGTATGCTGAAGCACTATGGAAGATTCTTCATAAAATTTCCAAGAAATTCAAGCATACTGTACTTAGATCCCAAAATATGATATATTTGTACAGGCTTACCTTTATATTTTTGAATTCCTTCTTCCAGGGGTAAAGAAAAAGATTGATTCCAACTGATTCTAGCACTTCAAATGCATTCTGGAGTGAATGCAGACTTGAAGCTCTCAAGGACCGAAGTGAATTTTCAGCAATTTCATAAAACTTAATTAACCGGAATCTATAAAAGGGATCAATCTTGGGAAAACAGAGTAAAGCTGAAGCTGCCATTTGTAGATTGGTAATTGGGCACTGCTTTCTGTCAGAGGTATCCAATTTAGATTCATGGAACTGTACATATTTTCTAAATGCTTCGTCTTTGTATTTTGTATCCATCTGGAGTTGGATTTAAGCACGCTCGTGGGCGGCTATCTCATCTCATTCATGGCTCTCTTGAAGCCCACTGATCAACAGGCAATGTAAGACAGGAGCAGAGTAGATTCTAAAAAGAAAAAAAAAGACAAATCACATCAAAATATCATTTAAATTTCATCAAAAAGTATTTTTGATGAAACTATTTTTTCCTGTCCTATAGAACTACAGCTTTTCTGAGGATTCCTTTCAGTTCAGAAAAAGAATTTTAAGTATTTCACATCAATCAGCACAAAGAAGCAATGCAGAATGTTCATCTGGGCCTACGTCTTGACTGCATGGGTTCTCTGATACTGTGGCTGTTTGCACTAAGATACTGGATTTTTTATTTAATACAGGGAAAATAAAATGAGAAGAGAGTGTAGAAAGGCAAAAAGGTCTACTAATTCTATAGCATATAGTGGTTTCAAAGTGTTTCTCCTTAACATGCCAGTTCTGAACTGTATTTTAGTCATCGTCACAACTCGGGGGGGTGGGGGGGGGAGCCTTTATTGCTATCCTCAATAGGGGCGGATACAAAAATTGTCATTTTGATGCAAGTTTACCAAATTTCTACTTCCCAATTATATAGCAAATTGAATATACCCATGTGCCACAGTTAGAATTATATGAATCTTGCGATGCAATGTGTAATGGTATAGGAACCCACATTAGGAAATTCTCTCCATAAAAATATCCTTGTAAATGTGCATGGAAATTTGTTTATACCAAGCAAATGTTCATACGTCTAAAATTTAGAGGAATTGAAGGTTGCAAAATTGGGGGGAAAAACTATTCAAAATGAACAAGTCGTGTTTCATATCCCTTGTCAGGGTTCCAAATAGCATCCAAAATAAATGACAGAATGGGAGGGGAGATTATATTGACATCCCTAATCTTTAAGCAATCCAATAAACCTTTCTTGTTCTCTTTGGGGAGACAGACAGCTGCAGCTAATCTAATCTGGGTAACAAAATTATAGCTGTTATGCAGATTCTCCCCATCTTTATTTATCCATTCAGAAAATCCCCGTATACATTGGCTTTAAAAAATTTTGTTTGAGATCCTATCTTCTAAGAACTCTTTAACTTGGAAAAATGTCATTTGGAACAATACAGAACTGCCAATATTTAAAATACCAATGCTGTGTAAAAAGAATCCAAATATATGCCTATAGACATTGGTGGAATTCAATTTTTTTTTACTACTGGTTCTGTGGGTGTGGCTTGATGGGCATGGCAGGGGAAGGTTACTGTAAAATCCCCATTTCCTTCCGATCAGCTGGGACTCAGAGAATAGATGGGGGCGGGGCCAGTCAGAGGTGGTATTTACCAGTTCTTCAAACTACCGAAAATTTCCGCTATCTGTTCTCCAGAACTGCTCAGAACCTGCTGAATACCACCTCTGCTTATAGGATAGTGTTATATATATATAGCAATCTTTGAGACTTTTGCAAACATAGTTTACCTGACCACACCTACAAAAAGGATGATTACACCTTGAAAGCCATTTAGAAAGAAAAAAATCCAAGCCCCCATAAAAATTGTAATCCTTTCCCATCCTTTTATTGGAAACTAATCCCATTGCCTTCAGTGTAATCACTGCTAAGTGAAAATGCATCAGGTTAGATCACAGTTGTGATACAACTCACAAATGCCATAAGATTATAATTAAATTGCAGGTGATTCTTTTGACTATTATTAGATCTTGACTAGCTTTTATCATAGGTGGGGCAATTTTAACATACCCACACAGAAATCCCACAAGGTTCAACAGGAATTAGTCCAAGATAACAGCCTTTAAAAACTAAAACCTTACACCTGATTAAAAATCCTAAATAAACACTTTTATTTAAATTGCATGTATTTTTTTGAATCTCACTTCTCATCTACAATCTCTATAGACTTCTCATCATTCAAATATATCATCTCTAATGTCTCTACCACTGGCTAGAAACGTGAAACTGATCACAATAGGATTACTCAATAAGTTTAAAAGATAGGCACTAAAAAGTTTTCCTCTCCCAGAACATAAACACCCACAAAAGAGAATTTTTGAAGTTGTCTCCAATACTATGTAACCACTTCAAAAATTCAATCCTCATTAAGAAAGGTTGCTTGCCAAAGAAGTACTTTTCTCTAACCTCAAGTTTATCTATTTTTCACCCAGTTAGAAGGGTAGCATTTTAAATGTCTTTCAAATTCCTCATTTAATTAACGAAAGCTTGTGGAAAACTGGCAAACTCATGATACTTCCCACAGTAACAATATTTTGAATTCCTTATATAACTTTTTCTATTTTTTAAAATAATGTATTTCTTTGTCAATTGTTCACAAATATCAGCATACAAAGGAAAAGAAAGGGAGTATGAGAGATAAACACATGCAGAATGTGCTGCCTAGGTTTATTACTGTGATTCTAAAAGTCTTATTTCTCAGCAACACCCATTCTTTCATCCAGATAAAACACCAGGCTGCAAAACACAATTTCAAATCTGGTAAACACAATTGTCCTCTTTACTTTGCATATTATAAACACTTTGTATTTAACTTGCCACAGACATTTACACAAACAACACACATACACCTGCTTGAATGTACAAGAGCACCTTCATTTTCAAGTGGGTATTGTCTGAAACAGAAACACCATTCTTGGCAAAACATTCATTTTCATCACAGAAATTCTTCCTAACAGTGACAATTTTAACTTCTTCCATCTTAATATCTTCTGAATTTCACTCTTTGTCAGTGTAATTATTCTGAAATAATATAAATTCATATTTATCATAATGCCAAATTACTAGGCTAAGGTGGAAATCTGAAAAAACAAAATCACAAAAGGGGATTATAGTAAACTATAATGTTGCCATCAAAATTACAGAGCCATGACCATTGTTACCAGAAGTTAAAACATAACTCAAGGGGGAATTTACTTTTAGCTAGAGTACTGATGGATCAGATCAAAGTTATATAGCATGTTATGATCCAATACCAAGATGCATTTGAGAAGTTCAGAAATACACAGAGAGAAGGGTGATAAATCCATTCCACCATTGCTCTGCTGCAACTATAACTTTCTTACCATACCTTTTAGAATTTGTTTCTGATCATCCAACCATATTCTAAAAAAATAAACCAATTAACAACTTGTCTAACACTTATCATAGCACAACAGATGGCCAAGCTATCTTGGCTGATTGCAAAAAAGCTAGTAACCAGAACTGATTATTATTTGCAAAGAAAAGTATTGTATTGATTCCTGATAACTGCCTGGACAAGTCCCTAAAGTTTTTGTGGCTGGTCAACTGGACATTCAAAGAGTAGACTGAATGAATGCAATGTAAAGACATTCTTACCACTGTCCAAGCATTTGAAAAGGCAGCAAGACGTTCCCCATTCAAGAAGAAACATGCCCTTTACCAATATAAAGCTGCACAAATATTTTGTACCCTATGACTATTGTTGTACCTTATGATTCTTGATGAATGTATCTTGTCTTTTTATGTACACCGAGAGCATCTGCACCAAAGACAAATTCCTTGTGTATCCAATCACACTTGGCCAATAAAGAATTCTATTCTATAATAATGGAGGAACCTTTTTAATAAAGAGCTTATTGGCTGCAGAGAGATACATCTTTCCTCATCCGACTTCCCAAGCACGTAATCAGAACGAACTATAAAAATTGTTGATTACGAATCCACGGGAAAAAAGCTCCCTTATTTCATGAATATTTAAGGACCTTAACCTACCATCACCCAGAAGTGGCAAGCAATGCTTTTCACCCGCCATCTCTAGTGGGTCCCTGCCTCCCATTTTTAGTTACAATCTCTGCAAAACCCAAAAGAGCGTCTAAGGAAACTCAGAAGAGGAAGCCAATATTGTATTTATTCCCATGCCCACCAGACTCCCCCCTTCAGGACCTCTCACCGCTGGACAGCCGAGGACGGGTAACTCTCTTCCTTGGGGATGCGGAGAGCGAAACCAACCCGGAGCCGCAACCAATGACGCTCAAGGCGAATCTACCCGACGTCTACGAGGACTGGTGCCAGGACCCGACCTCCTGCTTAGCTGAGCCTCTGTTCTCCCTCTTCGCTTCGCGCCCACCGACTCTTCGTTTCTCCCACCATGCGAACTGCAGGAATCCGGCAGCAACAGCCCACCTAAAAACCACCGACCAGCAGCCGCCTTCGACACTGGCCAGACCGGAAGACAACTCGGGACCCGGAAGAACAATCTCTTCTGCTCCCCCCCTCTCTCCTGCCCCCTCCCCTCCCGTCTTCTACAGAAACCCGGAAATGGTCTCCGTCTTCGTGTCTCGCCCCTGATGCCTTTCTGCTGAGAGCGCAGGCGCAATTTCCCAGGGCTCGCGCGGAGGTACTGAACAGGGATGACGTGCGTGCAGGCGCATGCGCATGATTTTCCATATGTGCGCTCTCTCTCTCTCTCGTATTTGTCTGCTTTCCATGTGGAAAAAAAATAACATGGATGCCCTTTCAGAACAAAAGTTATTTCTGTGGTAGCAGCTTACACTATCTTCTGGAGTCATCCACTCAACATTTTGCAAAATAATTGTAATGAGGAAAACTATTATCACTTCAGGATCACTGGGTTATGCTTTGAGTTACTGGTGGTTACAAATGACTGAATGCGCATTGTGATATTACAGTGCAAGGTGTTTGATGTATGTACCTCCATCTGATGTTGGGATGCAACCATGAAAATACAGGTTTGTGTCAGAATACATATTTTTTTTAATATCATAGTTTGCACTTATGGTAAGGGATAGCGTTGAATCAGAAACAAGCCAACCATATCAATTGTGTAAACCCAGTCTGAATTAATGTTGAGGGTTGTACAAATTAAGAGAAAAATACACAATGCAATTATATACCGTAGTAGTATGCATATGGTATATTTAACATACTGTAACCTTGTATTTTTGTGAAAGGGACAAGTCCTCGATGCAATTCTGCTGCTAGGGAATGTTCTTGGGATGCATTTTGATAATACACTTTGCAGTACTGATTAGAATGAAGTCCTTTCTGTCTTCAGTCCTTTTCTGGAAACCTGGTGAATAGAACGCTTTTTACATTCCTCATTGCCTTTTGTAATGGTCTTAATCAGTCTCCTCTTGCAATTATTCTCTGTCAAAAGGATAATTTCACAAACCACTAGAGAAATGTACACAAATGCATGTGGACAATATATGGGTGTGTGGAAGGAGGACTGTTTGTTTTTTGAAGCACTAGAAATATTCAGTGAGAGGCCAAGCTTGATAGAATAATACTGATGTTCCTTACACCTGGCCATTTAACTAGCTTGGATTGAGCAATGATTGACTGATAGTACTTTCTGTGAGTTTCATACAGACAACACCAGGCAGAAATCATTGGAGAGCCGCAGATGGTAAGGACAATATGAATAAATTTAATGTTGTTTTCACAACCTAAATTTCAACCTCTGTAGTTTATCCATAGTAGTTCAAAAGCAACAGCCGAATTTGGGGAGAAAAGATATATTTGTTTCAATACAGTCAAATTTCTGTTACATAAATGAAAAATGTGAGAAAGCAATGCCAAATGTTTATATCATCTTCTTGCATCAGAAAGTTCAGAAGACTTAGTCCTTAGAACAGATCAGTTGACAGATTGATATTACCATTCTGCACAAAATACTGAAAACCACACGAGTAACAACATACATAATAATTTAACACATTATCCATCTCTTAAGTTGATATCAAGAAAACATCCAACAAGCCTTTTGGATATTTTAAGTGATATTTTCCCTGAGGCCAAAGACAAATGTTGAATATTTAGATAATCTCAGAGTTAAGCAAGGGTTAAAAGGCAAAAAATTCCTTATGCAAAGGAGGCCCGTAGTTCTCTGCCTCCTGATCTGGGAGCAGCAAATTGTGCTTGTTGCTTTTTTATTTAATTTTTTACATTTTCATCATGGCGGGCGGACAAGAGGGGAGTTGAAATGTTCCTCTGACACAGCTGGAAA